TTAAAACGCTGCAATCATCTGAAGGCCTCTACTGTGTGGTGATGAATCTGCAACCTCCGATTTGAGAGAAAGCGCTTCACATAAGATTTAGAATATTTTCTATACTTTTTTTCTCGTCTCTTCGTACTGAAGAGTGTTGAAGTGACACAAAAGGTGTAAAGGATTACCATGTAAGAAGCAGAAAGATTTATCAGCGGCTGGTTTATATGCAGTTCAGCTGTTAAAGCCCACACGGCGATGTGACCTAAACGGAGATCCCATCATAAGAGGCTTTCATACTTACTTGTCCTCACAACGGGGTCTACATAAAGATGACGGACTAATGTAAATTCATGCCTGAGGATTATACATTCACTTCAGGGGACAAAGCGGAAAGTCGCATATCCTCCTTTCACTCCAGACAAGCAAACAGACGGGTCCCATCCATTATTTGTTATGTCGGGTGGAGGGGGCAGTACTTCCGGACAACAAGGCGGCACATTTCTATTTTAGTCTTCTGTCTTTTACCAAGAACATTCCTGTCACTCAATTTCATCTTAATCCACCACTTCCCTGTCAAGACTGTGACAGACAGCGCACAAAGGAGAAAAACACAGATCTTACGCCATTCATTTTATCTTCTTGATGCCTTTTCCCGAGCCACTTCTCCAAAGGCTGCTATCCTGAAATTAAATACACAAATGTTTTTCAATGTGGTTACTGAAAATGTATCTCTCATAAGCCAATCACAACAGATTTTTTCAGTAGGTCATAGTTGTAGACATAGAAGTAGACATTGTCAGAGTGCCGTCACTAAATTGACCTCCTGTTTATATACAGTGCATCCGGAAAGTATTCACAGCGCTTCACCTTTTTCACATTTTGTTATGTTACAGCCTTATTCCAAAATGGATTAAATTCATTATTTTCCTCAACATTCTATACACATCAGCCCATAATGACAAAGTGAGAACTGTTTTTGCAAATTTTTGCAAATCTGTTAAAAATAAAAAACAAAAACATCACATGTACATAAGTATTCACAGCCTTTGCTCAATACTTTGTTGAAGCACCTTTGGCAGCAATTACAGCCTCAAGTCTTCTTGGGTATGATTCCACAAGCGTGGCACACCTATTTCTGGGAGGTTTCTCCCATTCTTCTTTGCAGAACCTCTCAGGTTCCATCAGGTTGTATGGGGAGCGTCGGTGCACAGCCATTTTCAGATTTCCCCAGAGATGTTCAATCGGGTTCAAGTCAGGGCTCTGGCTGGGCCACTCAAGGACAGTCACAGAGTTGTGCCGAAGCCACTCCTTTGTTATCTTGGCTGTGTGCTTCTGGTCGTTGTCCTGTTGGAAGATGAACCGTCGCCCCAGTCTGAGGTCCAGAGCGCTTTGGAGTATGTTTTTCACAAGGATGTCTCTGTACATTGCTGCATTCATCTTTCCCTCAATCCTGACTAGTCTCCCAGTTCCTCCTGCTGAAAAACATCCCCACAGCATGATGCTGCCACCACCATGCTTCACTGTAGGGATGGTATTGGCCTGGTGATGAGCAGTGCCTGGTTTCCTCCAGACATCACGCTTGGCATTCAGGCCAAAGAGTTCAATCTTTGTTTCATCAGACCAGAGAATTTTGTTTCTCATGGTCAGAGTCCTTCAGGCGGGCTGTCATGTGCTTTTTACTGAAAAGTGGCTTCCGTCTGGCCACTCTACCAAACAGACTGTTTGTGTGCCTTTCTCAATCATGTCCAATCAACTGATTTTAGCACAGGTGGACTCCAATCAAGTTGTAGAAACATCTCAAGGATCATCAGTGGAAACAGGATGCACCCAAGCTAAATTTTGAGTGTCATGGCAAAGGCTGTGAATACTTATGTACATGTTATGTTTTTGTTCTTTGTTTTTAACAGATTTGCAAAAATTTGCAAAAAACAATTTTCACTTTGTCATTATGGGTTGTAAAATAATGAATTTAATCAATTTTGGACTAATGCTGTAACATAACAATGTGGAAAAAGTGAAGCGCCAATCATTTATTCCTGATTTTTAAAATGACATAAAACAGTTCCTTTAATAGGAGATTTGTAGTGTAACCTGTCTACAACAATTCGACGTATTTACATAGTTTTTAGATTCACTAGGAAAAGTTTGCTTGGTGTTAGTCCAGAATGCTACTCCACACTGCAAATTATTTGAATCTTATCAAGATAAAAAAACTTAGATTTAGAAGTGTTAGATAATTGATCTTGTTTTAAGAGTGAATTTCTTATTTTTAGTGTTTAACTTTACACTAAAATCTTAAATCAAGCACAACCTTATCTTTTTTGTCTCAAATAGGCATGACATCTTAAAATGAGTCAAATAACTGTTAAATTAAGATCTTTTACATCTCTCCCTCAAATTCTCATCAATAAAGCTTGTTTTAAGATTCAGTAAACTCAAGTTGCTTGATTCAAGAGTCACACAAAAAGCATCTGAAAGAAACAGAGTTTATTATTGCTCTGACTTCAAGCATGTTCAGACAATGTGAGGATAAATTATACAGCCTTCACCACAACTCACCATACAGTCCATGGAATTGTTTAATGACCAAAACAGTTTGTTAACAAAAACAGGCCCAGGAAACCGGCAAACTTGATCACCCAATAAATCAATGCTTCCCTTTCATTCCTCCATTTTAATGTCTACTTCTGTGGGCAATAATATCACAAAGACTATATTTTATTGGCACAAACATATGTTCCTTGAAACTAACAGAAAAATAAGAAATACAGTCAATGAGTTCATGTACAAATTCTGTAGCCTGGGCAACATTGGGAACTGCCACCTCATATGCCAGCATATCTGGACTCAAATTCAGTGTCTCATAACGCTGGTACTCAAAAGCAACATAAGAGGAATCAATCACAAATATATCTTTTATCAGTCCGAACACTGGGAAAGCATCATCTACATCTACAATAATCATAGATTTACCACTAATGTACTTATTGCCATTGAGGATGTACCATTTCACTGAGACAACAGATTGCATGACCTCTACGCCTAGAAAATCTTTGACTTTTCTCTTGACATAATCAAAATTTTTGACAGCTGAGACAGGCCCCGATTCTCTTTCACTAGCAAAAATTGGATGCTCAATGCCTATTTCATTTTGACAACATTCAAGGAACTGGTTATGGTTTGCAAGCGATTTACAGACATTTTTGAAATTTAACTTAGAAGCCCACTGCTTAAAATAACTGTGCTTAGCTTCAAATCGCATACACATACTTCTTATTAATGGACCAAGAGATATGATTTGGCTTGGTAGATGTAACATGTAATGTTGCTTGGGTATTACATTGGCTTCAGAGAAAAGTTCTTTGAAATGATGCAGATGTTGCTCAATCATGCGTCTGAGCCGTAATACGGTTTCTAAAGAAATAACAGGAGCAAGGACAATTTGAACAATCTCAATTAACTTGAGAATAAATTTGACATACTCGTTGTCCATACCGTTCAAAAGAAAAGGTAGGATTTTTAAAAGTATCAACATTTGTCCACATGACTGCTTTAATTTATTGTCATTAGCAGCTAAAGTACTGACACTAATAGGACATGGCTTATCTCTTATGTCTAGAGGTGAGTAAGGAAAATTTAGAATAGCTGAGTTAATCTCATCTAATTCTATCTGTCCTGACAGAATCAGGTTTTTTAATACAAGCTTTATTTCCATTGGTGCAACACCTTCAAAAATTACATGCATTATATCCTGTGGTGTTTGTTTGATCAGATCAAATGCTGGAACATCAACTAGTCTGCTTCTTCTGTTAATCCCATAAGTGGTTTTGAGGGATGCTTTCAATGTTTCTGTGCTTGCCTTATCTATTTCAACACACTGCCTAATGTGCTTTTCCAAAGTTCTTTCAGCAAACCTATTCTCCTCAAAAATACTTTGCATATCCTCAAAGGAGCATTCACAATGTCTACATTTGCTATAAGCAAAACCAACACCTTGTTTAAATCCAGCAATATCATGTTGGGCAAGTGTGTCTCCACATATGGCGATCACAGCACCAAACAACTCAATTTCACCATTTGGGGTGTCAATCCTAACACCATTGTACAGAAGTGTCAGATCTTTTTGGATTCTTTTTAGTATAACATCAACACCCCACTGAGAAATATTGTTTGCCTTGGCAATAGCCAGGAGTCTTATTGCAGCCAACTTTGACCTAAATTTTGGATCTATATTCCCTAAACTATAATAAAACATCAGTAATTTATTTGCAGAGGCATGGGCGCCTAAAGGGTTACATATTTCAATTTCATCGGTGTACAATAGTATTTGCAATGCATTTGGCCTTTGAGAATATAATGGATGGGATGTAAAAAGGGCTCCATCAGTAAAATCATACAAGAATCCCTCACTTCTTTGTGGTACAGTGGTTAACATGGTGAAGATTCTGGGATTGGTCAGTAACTGCTTAAGACTTTGAATGAGTGGTACATAGTAAAAACTTTTGCCTCTTAAGGCCATGACCCTTGAAAGACCACGCTTTACCCAACAAATCTTCTGGGACACCACAACTTCCTCTGGGTTGACTGGATTGAATAGTTCCCGGATGGTTTTATTCTGTCCATATGCTGTGGTTGAGAAAGGATCCATGAACGCATCAAACGTAGCCAAAGCCTCCCCTTGGAGCTGAGCAGTTGTGTCTGGATTCTCTTCAAACACCCTTCTGATTCTCTCCCTTAGTGTGTCAATGAGAGCAGCTTGGTACTGTTGCACCCCTGAGATGACACTGTTGACAGTTCTCTGGGAAAATATTTAAAATGTAAATAATTTTGTCACCCATATAATTCACAGGCCCATATTTTACATTAGAATAATTTAAATTAATAGTACCATTAAAGCATTTGCCCATGAAGATAAATTTACCTGTGATAACTGGCACTGTTCCCGGACACTGATGGCGAATGCCGCTGCGGATCTAGCTATATCAGGTCTGGTTCTACAACGACACTGGAGGGCGTCTTCCTTTATAAAATGAGTTGTAATTTTTTAAGAGCGAGTAGATGGACACAGTCAAAGTTGCAATTGATTTGAAAGGAAATGGACATTTTTGAGGAGATGCCCGAGAGGGGAAAGACTTCATTTTAATCCCGTATTCGCTTCACTGGTCTGGAACCTGAGCAGCTCTATCGTCTAAGGTAAGAGGAATTAAATGTTTTTTTTTAATGTTTAATCTTAGCATTCAATGGAGAGAATACCTATGAAAGAGAAAGTGTGCATAGGCTACTCAAATCATGCATGATTAACGCGCACACTCGCAGTGTGGATTCAATGAGGCCCATATTTAAATATATCGTTATATGTAGGACAAAAATATTAAATTACATAACAAGTCAGCATCACACAGAGAGCAACCTAATTGGCACGATAAGATTGAAAATAAATTGAATTGTGGAAACTTACGGACTCAAGGCGGCCGTCAGCTTCAGGCTGTGGTGACGGTTCGGGTAAAGAGGCATCAGGTGGGACAGCCGTAGTGCTGGCCGCTGCAGGAGTGCTACAGCTGGCAAACACCGAAACACCAAATGTTTCCTGTCCCAAAGACCGAGAAGAAGGCGTCGTACTCCATCCGCTTGGTGGGCATCCAGTCCTCAAATACTGAAGGTGCGTCCGTTTAATGTGGCGAAAGAAAGAGTTAAAAACTCTAAAGTCCTGTTCACATCCATCAATACCACAGTAAACCCCAAAATCCGGGCTGCGACTGTGACTTTTATTAATGTGGCTAAGGAGTACTTTAAGACTTAAAGCAACAAAGACGAAACATATCATACACCTCCACGCCGCCATGATGCACCGTTGTTGTCGCGGGCTAATGATCCAGGGGTGGATGGGGAGGGGGGCACTCATGAAATAATTTGTTATTATTTTAACAATACATTCCTCTAATTATAAATGCGACTTAATTAATTTTACGATGGTAAGTTTTTTAAAAATAATATTTTGCTAACATGTTCATGTTTACGTCCGATCATTTCTGCGCATCCTCAGTTCATGTCCTCCAACGGTCCCACCTCAATGACGTCAGTGTTCGCGGTTCACCGCTTGAGTAACTGAAAGATTTGGGTGCGTTACATTTGACGAAGAAGTGCAAGAAGAGCGGCTCAATGTCAGTAAACTTTATTGAATTAGTAAATATTACTATGTCGGTATATGCTTAGCAAGCTAGCTAATTGTTAGCTAATGTGCACTTTTACACGCTAGCCGTTAGCTAACGAACTCTGTTTGCCTATGGGTTTTCCCGGGTAGTTCTACGGTACCGCCTGTTAATGCTTCAGGGAGCTGATGAATCTAAGATGGATACTTTTGACGATGCCACTCTATCGGTGTTGGAGGGTAAGTCATGAATACAATTTATATCTGATGCATTGATGCTATTTATGGAGTGTACTTTATTAATAACTGAATACTTTTATTTGAAATCCAACATTTTTCTGCTTTCTGGGTTTTTCCTCAACCGTCATTTGCTTAACGAATTTATAATATTCTTAGGATGAAACATTTTAAGTAAGAGTCAGAATTCTAAAGCAAAATATATGGTTGTAAAATAGAAATCCCACATTTTAAAAACACGCGGTCTGCAGTGTCCCGCAGGCGGGAACGTTACCCTTCCCCCCCAACATTGTAAATCATCCGCCATTCATCAGATTGTTATGTAGCATAGTCATTATACCTCATTTGAAAGCTTGGACTCTTATGAATCAATACATGACAATGTAAAATATGTGTTTATACAATGTCAAGTCAATCGATATCTTTTATTAACCAAATTAACCAAAAATGCCCTCCGCCCTTGGTGCTTCACTACCTTCTAGCTGCAGTGTACAGCCTTACTAAATAAATTGATTGGTTCTGTAGCTTGCTACTGCTTTATCTAAAGATAGATATTTGTCATATATCTCACAGCTGCCAGTGTTGATGAGGAGGCTTTGAAAGGCCTTAGCCGGGATGACCTGAGGGATCTTTTTCCTGGCCCAGAGAATTTCCTCAAAAGAAAGAAACTTTGGAATTTCATCAGTGAAAATGTAAACACAAATTGGAATGAGTAAAAACTAGTAAAGTATACATTTTAATGGTTCTAATGCATTTTGTTTTCATTCCACACAATTCTAATAGTGTGAAAATACCACGGACCAAGATGCCAACAATTGTGCCATGCCACCATGCCAGCCTCAAACCTCAACCCCCATATCTGCTGAGAAAAAAATGAAAATGCCAGACCCTCCAGAGTATGTGGTGTACACAGATTCAGAGTTAGACATGGTGCGTAGTCAATACTTTGCACTGCTCTGCAATGGAAAGGAAAAAAATTACAAACTGTCCAAGGAGCTATGTTGCAGACTTGTAAGGAACACAATAACCAGTATGGTTGCTATCCTGCGTGCTAGTCCCATGGGGAAAGAAGTCAGTTACCCGTCAAAATTGGAAATAAGAGCCATGTCACAGAAGATTATAGACTATTACCCAATGTTACGGGATGATGATCCAAACATGCCTTATGTAAGTATTATTTTTTTATCTAAACCAAAACTTTGGGCAGGTCAGCAACAAGACAAACAACGTATCTAACATTCTTTTACCACAGCTGACTATCTACACCAAAATGTACAAGCGACTCCAAAATATGAGATCCCCACGGAAGAGGCAAGGCTCTGTACCACAAAGAGGAGTGGCAAAGACAGCTCTCTTCAGTGCAGACAACCAAGACATGGAGACGGATTGGACAGACACAAGCAACTCAAGTGATAATACCTTACTTCTTGAGAGCAATGATGACCTTACCGAGGACAACTCCAGTGAAGGTGTGCAAATTGTTTGCAAAAAATGAAGGGGTGCTGTTAGACTACTGTTTTTTTGTCTAAAAATTGTCTAATCATGTAATGAAACTATAGTTGTCTGTATTTGTCAAGCCAGAGTTTATGGCTAGGCATGCACTGTGTTTATCTGCCGGTTTTGCTTGTTGTCATGCTTTTATTTGTGTTTTATTTCTTTCATTATTTCCCCAAAAAGCATTCCCAGCACATCGACCCCCCTCTGTGCCAAGGAAGCCAAAGACCAAAACCTTCCTGCTGCCATCCGCATCAGCCTCAGGCTCCTCACTCAGGACTGTGATCGCTTCACCAACCACGCCTGCAAAGGATGATGTTGGTAAGCCCACCTCAGCACACCTCTCAGCCTGTTATCCATGATAATGACTTTCAGAGTGGCAAATCAGAGTCTAAACGGTTGGAGATTAAATTCAAATTTCCTTAGTTTGTGGATGTTAATGGTAACTCTTTTTCCAGACAACTCCCATTGTTCATATAAACAACATAAAATTATTGTATTTTTGTATTACTTATTATTGTATCAATTAAGTTAATTGATTTGAGTGTTACAAGGGAAGTAGACCGACCTGCATAATGCAATAAAGTTGTGTTTACGTTGAAATGTCTGCTCTGTTTTTTGCCATTTCAGTCGGCCAGGACAGTCTGAAAATGCAGGCTAGGCACTACAAAACCTTGAGCAACATGTACAATAAGCCAAATGCAAAACCCAATCAAAGTGATGTTGCTCAAGTTTTAGACCTTGAGTTTAAGGCCAGACGGGCTTTCATTGATGCAGATGTTACAAGGGAAGAAGACCGACCTGCAAAAATCTTTGAGGCATATCCATGCTTTAGAGATGTTCGAAATGTATGTTTTTTTTCCACTACTTGCACTTGAATTACTGTCTATCCATCTGTGTTCTAAATGTCCAATGGTTGAATAACTGTGCACAATGCTGTCTTAGGCAATGGATGAGCTGCGGCGCATAGTAGGTGGCACCAACAGCAGATACATCGAGGAAGTGAAAGGAAGATGGGCAGACTTTTGTGCCAAGGTGCAGTTCTATGGTGTGTGGAAGAAAGCCCTGAAACCCCCCTTTCCATTGGATGTCCGTGGAGGTAAGTTGCGGTTCCATATGCAAATGTATTTTGATTTATACCATATTCAGACCATTCAGACCAATCTTTCTATTCTTTAGTGGAGTTCACGCTTGCCCTCTTCAATGCACTCCCATCCCTTTTCCCCTCACCAACTTCACCACCAAAGAAGCTTGGAAATAGCTGTGAGGCACTTCTTCATGTCCTGAAGGTAAAAACATTTTTGTGTGTTGATTCCTTACTGTCCTCTTATTTTCTCACATTTGTTGTGCATGTTCACATAACAATACACCCTAAGTTCACAATCACAGATACTTTTTGCAAAAAAGTGTTTCTAGTGTCCCTCAAATGGTGTTCACAGAAAGGAATACCAAGAAATGTTTGATTAAACAAAAAACCTTTGATTCATCCCAGAAACATAAAAATGCACCTTGCATCAGCTTGTATCCATTGTTAATCCATCCTAAATTCTTACACCTTGATCTGTCAAACAAATGTTGCCCATTTTGAAGTAATTCATGATTATTTCTTCCAGTGTAATAATAAATCAATATTTTTCATCAGTGTTTGTATATAATAATGACTATTTCAAGAGTGTCATTAGTTGCAACTTGGTCATTTATCTAAAAATTAAATTTTTATGTTGAACATGCACTTGACTTTCAATACATTTTTATGTCTTCTCACTTTACACATTGTTGTTTTTATTCTGTTCCAGTCAGGCGAAGACCCTGCCCTGTACCTGGAAAAGCATCCTCTCTCCTCCCCAGTTCTGCTTTCTGATGGCTCAACCACCATTGTGGCTGTGGGTAATGTACCTGTGACCACCCTCCCTCAGGAAGATTTCTCAGACGGGATGTTGGTGTTAATGGCATATTACTACACTTTGCACTTAAGATATCCAAAATGTGTTGCAACGCTCCTGTCAGTTATTCAAACAGAGGTAATTGGTGACACAATCCACGATCAAGATGCCACTAGTGCTTACAGGAAAGCAATGGCTGATTGGAAGTCTTTCATTGAGAAGTAGCTGAGTATTTTGTCATGCCAGTTCTTATTGTTAGCTGTGAGTTCTTATTGTTAGCTGTGCCTAATAATAGTTTTGTGTTGCACAAGCTTATACAGTCACTGAGTTATTACCTCATTTAGGCCTGTATTTAAAATGATAGTTAAGGAAAAATCCATAACTGAGGGCTGAGAAGTGTTTTTGTTTTTTGCCCTTTTGCTTTTAATTTCTTTTATTTTTATGGAAAAGTATTCAAATGTCTATAGCAAACTTGACTTGCTGATGTTAAATAAATGTTGTCTTAAGCCATGTTATTTCTGCACCATTATTCTAAAAAAGGACAGGCTTTAGATTTTAAGATGCTCAAAGTAAGAAAACAAAATGGGTAATTGCTTATATTTAGTATATTTCACTTATTTTGAGGCTGTAAAAGTTTAAATTTAAGTAATCTAGTCTTAAAAACAGCATTTTATGCTTATATTTAGTATATTTCACTTATTTTGAGGCTGTAAAAGTTTAAATTTAAGTAATCTAGTCTTAAAAACAGCATTTTATGCTTTATTTAGTATAATTCACTTATTTTAAGGCTGTAAAAAGTTTAAATTTAAGTAATCTCATTTTACAACCAGCATTTTATGCTTATATTTAGTATAATTCACTTATTTTGAGGCTGTAAAAGTTTAAATTTAAGTAATCTAGTCTTAAAAACAGCATTTTATGCTTATATTTAGTATATTTCACTTATTCTGAGGCTGTAAAAAGTTTATTTTAAGTTATCGAGACTTAAAACCAGCATTCTATGCTTTTATTTAGTATATTTCACTTATTTTAAGGCTGTAAAAAGTTTAAATTTAAGTAATCTCATTTTACAACCAGCATTTTATGCTTATATTTAGTATAATTCACTTATTTTGAGGCTTTAAAAAGTTTAAATTTAAGTAATCTGATCTTAAACCCAGCATTTTCATCTTATGTTAAGCCTTCCAAATACCTCTTTAGACAAGCTTATTTCTAGATTTAATTATCTTAATTCAAGAAATCTTGTCAAGTGAAATTATCTAGCTGCATGGACAGATAATTTCACTTGTTTTGAGTACATTTTACCTCAAATTTAGTTTTTTTATCTTGTTTTGAGACACCCTTTTTTTGCAGTGCACACATCTTATAGGATTTATAGGACTTATAGGATTGTCAACAGGGCTGTAGTGGAGGGTAAACGCACATAAACGCCGTTTACGCACCTCTGGAATTTTGGAAATAGCATTTACGCACCTCCTAAATAACGTTTACCCACCTCTAAGTGGGATATAGATCTTATTTTTACTTTTTACATACGTAAAAGCAGAAGTGAAGAATAAGGATGGGCAAGGACAGAGGAAGAGGTTAAGAAGATGAAAAACATGAAACAAACATTTCTTGTAGGATACTGTATGTGAGTTATGTACACACCCAGTCACATAAGCCGGTTGTTATTTTGTTTGTGTGTGTGTGTGTCTGTGTGTGTCTACATCTGCCTCTGTGTGGGTAGCTGTGCATGATCCGTGTTAGCCCTCTTCCCTGGCCATAATGGGCCAAGCTGGCAACCTGCTGGTGGCCTGACGTTTGACAGAAAACAATGCATATTCATCCCCCTGCCTCCCTCAGTCACACAGATACACACAAACCCAGCAGCTCCCTGTGGTTTGGCTGCCAACAAGCCGTATGGACGATTAGTCAAGGCCAGAGCCTTCACCTTTAAAGTGTTCCCACTTCTTTTTTTTTATCCTGACCTCCTTACAAAGTTTTGTTCTTTGGAAATCATGAAAGAAAAAAAAATGGTGCAAAGTCAACAATTAAAAACAAACAAACAATTTTAACACACACTCTATCTCTGTCATTCCTCCCTGGACTGTTTCTATCACTGTCGCCACCATCCAAATGTTTGCCATTTTATTTTAGTCCCTTGTGTTTCTCCTCTACTTTGATTTGCACGCTCCGGGCTGGGTCCGGTTATTTCCAGTTTTTCAACCTCTCTTAGTCCTCCCTTCTTTGTTGTTGTCTTCTTTGCTTTATGTGCATTTCATCCATAATCACAACTCGGCCTCGCACTTTGCCTCAGACATCTGAATATATAATAGTGATTTAAATAATGACTTCTTTTCTATCTCCAAATAACAAACTAAGACCCTACGAGGGGGTTCTGATAGTAACCAGGCTTCAATCGTAGCTATTCCAATGATGATGAATTACATTTCCATGAAGTTTCCATTTGCTTGCTTGGGTTGCAAACAAACTTGCTGCTAAAGGAAATGATTAGCTTGAGGGACACATCTGGTGCGATCGGTAAGACAAATTATTCATTGCACCTGAACTCAAGGGGGAGTGAAACATATCTCTAAATTATCTGTCTGGTTGCCTTGGTGGTGATGCAACAATGTATTTATTTTCAGGGTGTGAAATGAATCAAGAAGAAGAATATGTGGTTGTGTCTCGATAGTTAATGGCACCAGGTTTTGGTAATATTGACAGTGCAGGGTAAAATTTGAGTTCCCCCAAATTTTAAATTATTTAAAATTTATAATCTATAAACACTATACAAATATTCAATATAGGCTGGCTTTGTGCTCCATGTTCTTGGAGGTTAGACGGACAAGCCGAAGGTTACAGATGGAAGATGTGTTTCTTTGACTGCTCTGTGCTTCTGCAGTGCTGCAACCTGACTGACCACAAGGTAAAAGAGAATTTCCACTTTGGACAGACACTTAAATATGTCACAGTGCACTGTGTTGGAAACTTGAGTATTCTTCCCCTTCACATAAAGAGGAAGAAAGATCTCTTAAAAACAGAATCCGCAAAGTTTTAGTATCTGGCATTTCCTGTCTTCTCTCACTGGTAATTCTTTAGTCTTTTAGATTTTTATCCTCTCCTCTTCTAACTGTTCCTCCTTGTGTTCCCCTCCTTCTCTGTTCTTGCTCTTCCTTTCACTTGTCAAATGCTTTTTTTTCTTTCTTGTTATTGCCTCTGCTCGTTTTTCTCTCCTCGTCTTTGACTGCATCTGTTTTAAGTTTCAACTGTTTTTACGGCAATTCAATCTTAATAGTGATTTAACAGCAAAACAAACCTCCAATTTGATTTGTATGTTACTCTGTTGCGTTACACCCTTCACTTGGCTCATTCTCTGTATACATATGTATATGTCATCCTCCCCTCTTTAACCTTGTTCCACATGTCCGGGCACATTAGAGCACAGCTTTTCCTCTACAGCAGTTGTGACATTGAGTGGTCTGGAAGTTTTCAATGCCTCCAGCCTCAATGCTTTCACTTCCTTCACGCTGCACCGCGACGACAATGGCTAACAGCTGGGGATCTGTGTGGTTTCCTTTGCTTTCCCCAAAGCTGGAGTTACTAAAGGATCCTGTAAAAGTCAATCATTGCACATACTTACTACAGTCTTGTGACCGCAGTAGATGCCAGATTATTGTAATTTTTTTCCGTCGTAGCATTTCTTTTATTGCTGCTGGGGCATTAATTAATGTTAATCCACCACTGTAAATACTCCCCATGAAACACAAAATTGACATCTGTTTGGGTGAAGCCTGGGAATGTAACTAAAAGTACTGTATAGCATTTTTAAAGATGTTGATCTTCAGTAGAAACATGTCTGATAGAAAGGACGGATTAAATCATTTCAACACATTGCCATTGGGATCCTTTCGAATTATATGTTGAAGATAAATAAAAATATATAGTACCAATCTGTGAGTGCTTTAGCTAATTCACATCAGTGAAATCTATCTGATGGTCTAACCACTATTATTCCCTCTTTGCGGCCACCCGTCTTGTTTTAATTAATGAATAAGCCAATCGGTTGAAAGCTGTCAGAGTGTGTGTTTGCTCCTTGTTAAGTTTCATCTCCCGTGCTCCAGTTTCCCGGCGCTGCCTTACAGTAGGGACAACCAGCCTCATCAATATTTAAAATGCATTTTAATTAAGCCCCGGTTGGTGAAATTAAAGGCATCCCTCACCCTTCGCTGCCTCCAGTATCCCCATTGGCTTTTCAACAACCTTTTATCAACAACAACAAATTGTCGCTCACTCACCACATCTGCTGAAGGGAGCCCTGAGTATTGGGCACAGCGCACAGTGAAACATGCTTCATCTGATGGAGGGTTGAACGATCACCACTGTCGACGGTGGCGCATGAAGTAGAGTGGGTGCGCCGGGAACAGCAAGGTTGGCGGTTCGAGCCCCAGCTGCTCCATGTTGAAGTGTCCCTGAGCAAGACACCTAACCCCTAATTGCTCCCTGGGCAAAAATGTAAAAGCCATGGGTTAAAAATCCAATGTAAGTCGCTTTGGATAAAAGCTTCGCCTAAATGACACGTAATGTAAAAAAAGGACGGCCTTCCTGATCCACAATGCATCTGTGCAGATAGATGACGATGCACATAGGTTGAGATAGCTAGATCGGCAGCCAGAGGGGAAAGTGTGTGTGTGGTTACCCGTCTTGAGTTTTAGAGCTTTCAAAGAAAAAACATTTGGGTTTTCTTCAAAGGCGTTCAAATGCTCAGACTTGGTTCTAGGTTCAACATAAAATCAGGTTCAGGGTAGAATTATGGTTGGGGTTTGGTAATGGAGTATATCAGTGGCATTTATGTGTGTGTGTGTGTGTGTGTGTGTGTGTGCGTGTGCGTGTGTACACATTTAATTCTGGGCATGAGGAAGATGATTTGCCTCCATTTCATTTTTGAGTGACCTGAAGAGACAACTGTGTCAAAGCTGATCAGCTGCCAGGTCTTGCTTAATAGTGTATGAAGGACACATCAGATTTGAAGAAGTAATTTGATAGGCACTGATGTAATTCTCACCATAACTCCATGTCAACAGCACTGACCGTAATGTATACGCTTACCTTCAATACGCTAGACAACAAGAGCAGACTTACGGTGGGTGATATGTAACTGGTGTTCATGTTCCAAAGTGGTGCTGTGTTGTTTTCCCTAAGGTTTCTACCTCCACATCGAAGGGTTTTTCATTTCTTGGGGAGTTTTTTCTGTGCTGATACGAGGGTTTTCGGGCCGGGGGAAGTTGCATGACTTTAAAGCCAAATTTGCGATTTTGTGCTATACAAAATAAAATAAATTGAATTACATAATAATGGAAAAATCTAACACACCACCGCAGCGGGGGCTAGACAAGAAGTACGACAAAATATGCATAGGTGTAGGAAAAAAGTAATGTATGTATCTAATTTTAAGTGCCTCATCTTAAAAAGGGTGGAACTGAGAGACAGTTAATTGCGTTGTGTACTAAGCTTTATAGAAGCTGTGCATGCC